TGTCCACCGCACGTTCATCTTTCTCAAAACAGGTTAATACCTCCATTTTCATAGCAAGGGTAATGGTCTTACTTTGCTTCTTCACAACACTAGCATCACTAGCACTTGATGGGCGCTTGGAAGCCATTTCGAATGGTTGAGTACAGTATTACGAGCAAAAACACTTAAACACGCACGAATTCTGTGGAAGCCTAACAAAGACCGGCGACACTTGGGGATGCTGTGTGACGCTCCACGAGTGAGAGCATAGTGTGCCTAGCTGAAAGCATCATAGCGTGCCAAGATGAGTGAGGGTGGTGCGCCGTACAAAGTAGTCCTTGACGACGTTATACTGAATCGACGGGACGTTATCCGAATCATGGGTATCTAAAGAATAGCGATGGTATAACGAAACAACGATATCGGGGGCACTGTTAAACAAGGACATACTGTACTCACTTTGTACTCAAATGTACAGAGCTAAAGGGCTAAAAATTTAACTCTTGTGCAAACTATGAGATGTTTATACTCAAATTAGTTGCTATCTTCCAAGGATTCCAGCAATGCAATTTATGTCGGTGACATTTTATAAGTGAAAATATGCATATATTATCACAAACTGTATTCAAATTTACTAAGTTAATTACATTTTTGTTTTATGTCCAGTGCAAACTATGGAATGTTTATACCCAAATTAATCGCTATCTTGCAAGGATTCCAGCAGTGCAAGTTATATTATGTTAAGCCAAGTCTGTGACACTTTATAAGCTAAAGACTTTAAGCCTAAAATCGCCTTCACCCCATCAATCCTTATCACTCACCATCATCTACCTTCTCTGGCTGGGAGGCGGGGGTGTTGACAGCCAGGACGGGTGCTTAGTCGGGATTATAAATGACAAAGAGTTTAAGTTTTTCACTTGCAAAATGCCAACGACTTGACTTAGCAGAATATAACTTGTATTGCTGGAATTCTTGCAAAATGGCAATTAATTTGAGTATAAACATTCCATAGTTAGCACTAGACATAAAAATTTTAGCAATTAACTTGATACGTTTGAGTACAGGTTGTAATCATTAATGCTTTGTGGTTGCAATTGCGAAGCTTTGTGACATCACTAGTGTTTAATGCGTCTCCGTATGCCCTGGTTTATTCATTGATCAGTTGTCTACGTAAGTGCAAAATTATAAAAAGTCAAATGTTATATGACAACAGTTTAGTAGTGCTGTTAATATGTGTGTTGTGTAAATATCTGGGCATGTCACCTCACTCTTCCCACCCACACACCAACCATGTAAAGATGCAGCTAAACATGGTGCAATTTTTCTTAATGCTGGGAACCATTGTCCCCAGGCCCGGAGCAGAAAGGTTTGGAGTGATTTACTTGCCATTTTCTCAGATTTTCTGGTAATTCCTTCATGTCATTATTTATCATTTTTTTGTTTTAATTTTCATACATATAGTACATTCGTCGTTTAGGCTGTAGTAGGTTTTACTGTACAGTGATCCTTCGGTTAACAAACGCCTCGGTTAACGAATTCCTTATGAATTTTTCCCAACATGTTTTCGCCTGCTCACCAGCTGTAGTATTAGTCCACCAATACAGTAATCGGTTTTAGGGCTTAAATTCGTTATCATTTGAGTAAATATCAAGAAGGTTGTACTATTCAATAATTTTCCAAGTCTTATATTAAAGTTTTGGTCATTTTAACAATTATTTAACATAATTGAAGTACAGTACAGGGAACTAGTTTTTAGCACGCCAAACAGCCACACAACTCACCCAAAATGGCATCAGTGTGTGTCCCTGCTTAGTGGAGGAAGCTTCTTGCTTGAGACTCTCTTGAGCATAAACTATTTTTATGTTTTTACAGTACAATTATTGGTCATTCTGAAGTTTATTTTACATATTGACAATATATAATGCAGTGCAGTGTTGATTTAAAGAAAATAATCTTGAATTACACCAAATGAACTAAAATTTTATGGGTGAAATGGCAGCATGGGGTGACTTCTCTTCTCCCTTCTCCATCCCCATTCTAATTCCCATCATCATCATCATCAACCAGGAGCCTTCTACATACACACCTCAAAGTAAGTGTACTTTACTATATTTATTTTTAGTTTGTATGTAATTTTCGGTGAGCTGGAACCAATTACCCAAAATCCCACTGAAACAATGGTTTTTAACGAAATTTTCGGTTAACGAACGACCCTCTGGAATGAATTGTGTTCGTTAACCGAGGGACCACTGTATCATGTGTCTGAGGTGTCTTCGTAGGTGTGAGCGTATTACGGAATTAATCCCGATTTAGCAAACTAGTTCATTAAATCAAACGAAAAATGATAAAGAAAATGCCTTACGCTAAATCAAGAGTTTGTTATATTGGATTCTGTTAAATCGAGAGTATACTGTACAATACAGAAGACACAGTGGAGAGAGAGTGTGTTTATTGACTAGGAGTTCACAACAATAATGTCCTCCAAGCTGTATTGTCCCTCAGAGTGGTAGTCAGAAAACTAAGCATGAATGTGATAATATGACCTTATCATAGGGCCTACCACATATAACCTTGGCTTGATCCCTACATTGGATGACATGCTGAGAGTATAGCTGACAATAAAAACATAAGAATGGAGGAAACTGCAGCAGTCACGTTTACACCCAACCCCTATTGCTCATATATCCGCCCAACTTATATTTGGAGCTACCCAGCGTGTTGGAGTTAATGATAAAATTTGGTAACTTGTTCCACTCATCAGCTACTCTATTTCTAAACCAATGTTTACCTATTTCGCGCCTGAATCTAAATTTGTCTAATTTAAAACCATTGCTACGAGTTCACTCCTGGTTGGATAGTTTGAGTACCTTCGTTATATCACCTTTGTTTAGCCCTGACTTCCATTTATACACCTCCATCATATCACCTTTCACTCTATGTCTCTCAAGGGAGTGCAAATTAAGATGCTTTAACCTGTCTCTATACTCAAGGTTCCTAATGCTCAAGATTAGTCTTGTCATCCTCCTCTGAATGCTTTCTTAGGATTCTATATCCATTCTGCAGTACATGTGAGCAACACAATTAATATAAAAGGGTGACACAACTAGAAGTAGGTCACAACACCATTGATTAGGGTTGGATGGAAACAAGGTAAAAACAGCATGACCATATTTTATTACCAGTTATACTTGTATTTGTAACCATAAATGTTACTTAGTTAATGTTATATACTCTCAATATCTTTGTAAATATTTACAGTTGAAAAGGGTAAAACAATGATTCAAACAATGTATTCTTTAGATTATAAAATATTATTCATTCAGTAGCTAATCCAGCCTTTTCAATGACAGCCAGTAGTCTATACAGCGTGGATGGCACAAGGTCTCCACCAGCTCCAGTCTACCCCTGTAGTATTCCCACTGTCTGTTAATGTGCAACATAATGTCAAATAATGTAAAACTTAATTGGATAAATTTTTTGTTGAATTTATTAACAAAACCATGATATCCTTTCTCACTCCTTATTGAGAACTGGAAGTATCGGAGTTTGACTGTTGAACTGCTTGAATGCTTGTTTGTTTGTTAAGGACAATGACCACACAGTGACCAGTTGGGCCACTGCTTGAAATTTGTTGCTTGATCTTGAAAATTTAACCCAAACCTTGAAAGCTTGAAAGAAATTTTTGAAAATATCCCATTCATTGAAAGATTTTATAATTGTTATTATATTTTATTATTTTTTATATTTAAGAATCATAATTAAGTTAGATATGAAAATGTTCTTTTGCCATTTAGTTTGCTAAGTAATTTGGCATGCCTGGAACACGATTCACCGATTTTGCACCTCTAAACAAAGTGAATTTTCCGTCTTTTATTTAAAAAGAAATCTTAAATATAATTTTTTAGTTGCTGCAGTGTAAAAGCACCAATTAAAAGTAATTAATTGGTAGGCAACTCTAAACTATTACAACAGATATTAAGTAAAATCTCTGCTTTGATATACAGGTACAACATGCCCTTTATTAATAACAAAGCACGGAGTGGACTTGACGGTAGACTCAACATTTTTAATACTTTTGTTTCCAATTATAATTTATTTTTATGTGTTTTGTGTGTGTGTGTCTACTCACACACAAATATTTACAATACAGGTAAAGGAAATTACTGTCTCTAGAACGAATGGCTCCCTGTTTCAGCCGCGAAAATGCCAGCAACTTTTAAAACTACCCACAGACATTCTTGGATACATCCAGGATGTCATCCGCAAATAATTGAGGTCCATGAATAAAAAATCTGTAAATTTGAAGGGCATTCTGTACTCAAATATAGAACTTTAGTTAAGTCCCGTCTCAAGCTGTCCAACGAATAGATTTTGTTTTCTTTTGTAAAGCAGAATACCGAGTGTCTATTTTCATTTGATAATATTTTTTTTTTGTATATTTTATATATTTTGTACATTTTGTACAATTGTATTGATTAAAATTAAAATGATTGTAATTGGATATAATTTTGTCATACAGTACCTCCAAATTTATTTAGCGATCTGGAAAGATTCAGACACAAATCTGGTATACTTTGCTTTTTCACAAGTGGCATCACTGACAATGACCTGCCATCCAGTAAGGGTGGAGGGAGGATTTTGCACCATCCAACTTAACTGTATTAAGAACTTCCATCCAGGACTGTACATTACAGGTTTAATGGCATGTCTTTGATTCATGCTTCAATTTAACTGCAAATTCGTTTTTATGGGAAGGCTCTGGTCCCAAGCTTGCCATTAAATTGAAGCACAATCTGTATACAGGTACTAAAATTATAACTACAGTGCACGTACATGATTTCTTTTTAAAATACTGTATTCTTATGAGAAACTGTGAATTTTTTTTTTTTTTTTGTTTTTTTTTTTATACTATTTAAAATTCCCCAAAAAAGCAAAAATAAAGTAAGTCTGGTAGTTGCCATATATCACTTTTTATTTACATTTTCTGGAAACTGTGACATCACATTGTTGTTTTCCTTCAGCTGTACTACCTAAGGCTGCCCAAGGATATCAAGGACTACCATATCTTCCTGATGGATGCTACAGTAGCTACAGGAGCAGCAGCCATCATGGCCATCCGTGTCTTGCTGGACCATGAAGTGACAGAAGAACACATATCTCTCTGCTCTCTTCTCATGACTGAACAGGGTGAGTCACCTGTTTATTATCATATTAATGGTCTGAGTGGTTTCCTCATTTGGGAGTAATGATGCATCTGTTGTGGTTCCTTTTGAATGAGGCTCGGTACACTTGAAAAGTTTTGTTCATCATAATTAGATACATGTAGAACACTTACATTATTTAATTTAAAGATATTCATATGTTAATCTATCTGCTTGTGTTTCAAATAAGGTACAAAAAGGGTTAGATGGATTGCATAATTATTGATTGTGACCATAGGGGTAGTAGGCTGTTGACCTAAGGAAGTACTGTACTGTACTGGGGCCGCATACTCAAAAGCATATCTTTGTACAGTACAGTATATCTTTGTTTACCCCGCAACTGGAGTTACAGACTCCGATCGGTATACTCAAAACAAATATTTGTCAGTGGACTCCATAAGCGAGTCTGTATTCGAGGCTGTAACTTACAGGACCTCCTTAGCTGCCGTAACACGCTCAACCTGGATATAGTACGTCGTTATTTCCCGATTGCATAAAAAAAAAATAATATACAGTCAACCCTCGCTTTACGCGGTCCCACATTCCGCGTTTCCACGTTTACGCGGTACCCTGCCGAAACCGGAATGCTCACATTCCGCGGTGCGTGTACCCCTTTACGCGGGGAGCGGCTCGAGCAGGGTGCGCACAAGGTCGCCCAGTCATCAAAACATTACCAAGTTCTTCACCCGCCACCCACCACAGCCGGCCCAAGTCAGTGATAGTGATAATGATAGTGAGGATATGGACTTTGAGGGGTTTGACAAAGGGGCCCTGCAAGCCTCTGTGGTGGATAGTGATACAATCGATACAAGTGATACAGGTGAGGGCCAATAATCTGCCCTCTGCCTCGGAACCAACCCCCCATCCCCGTGTGCCCAGCCATCTTTTCTACTGATGTAAGTGTTAAAAAACCTAATATTATTGATATTTCTCTTAATTATTAATTATGTGTGCATACCATCATAAAATTTAGAAGTTATTTTTACTACAACGTATGTATTGTGTCTGAAAAAGTGGAGTTTGGGGGGTCGGCCCGGTCTCTATTTCAATTAATCCCATATGTTATGTTGTTCACTTTACGCGTTTCTCACTTTACGCGGGCCGCCGTCGATTGAATTAACCGCGTAAAGTGAGGGTTCACTGTATGTTGTAATAAAGCTTGTTAGACTTGTTTTATCATCGAATAATGAAGAAAATTTTTTGTACATCATACTAAAATGTGATATTACAGTTTGTCTTTGTAGTTAATTTTTTTTTACGATAAGAAGAGGCTTGAGTGTGTTTAAAGTTGTTGCGGAATGGAAGAGACGCATCTTTTGTCTTCTTTCAACTTTTCAAGTCATTTGTACCAAAATAGAAGATTTGTATTACCCACATTCATGGTACAAATATTTTTTATGACTAGTAAACTTGCAGATAGACCTTATTAATGTGGTATAGCTGTACATATCCATCAGTAATGAAAGCCAAATACAGTGGGCCCTTAACATACGCGGGGGTTACGTAACAGAGATAGCCGTGGATGTTAAAAATCCGCGTATATGTGCTGCCCCCCCCCCCAAAAAAAAACCAAAAAACCCTGGCCCCCTATGTCCTTATTTACCGTATATACCTGTGTGTAGTTCGAGTTTTTAAGACCAAATTATTTTGCAAAAAATTGGGGGTCGACCTCTAAAAGGGTAATAGTTTCGTTAGGTTGAAAAATATTTACCAGTAACTTCCAATAAGCTGTGGAAACAACGCACCAACACACCACCAGCTGTGAGTGTCGGTACAGATGCCAGGGCAGATCTCTTGCGTCATCATAGCAAGCCCAAAGTAGCCAAATGCATGGTATGGTATACACAGGACGATGTAAAACAAAGTATTCATTTGTTTAAGTTTATTTATAGATACTGTACATAAATTTTTGTTCATTACATTTGAAACATCAATCTTTGTTAATTAAATTTGATACAAAAGAAAACTACGATACCGTATTTTCATTAAAATATTACATCACAAGTATATTTTACCTTAACTGTGACTGAATGAATATATTCTCAGAAATAAATATGGAAATGTAATATTTTGGCTGAAATGACGTACATATTACTGTACAGTGGAAAGTGGGATAAAATTATGAAAACAATGACTTTCGCTTTCTTTCGTTGTTCAAAAGATTTTACCGTAATCACTTTTCGAATGGTTTTCAGTTAAAAAACTGTTGTACTGTACTCGTACTGTATTACAATAATATTCTATCCTATCATTAGCCTTATAATCCCACAACTGAAAACCATTCGAAAAGCGATTACGGCAACATCTTTTGAATGAAAGAACGAGAGAGTCATTGCTTTCGTCACAATTTTATCCCACGTTCCACTGTAATACGTATATCATTTCAGCAAAAATATTACATTTCTATGTTCTCAGAAATAAATGGTAGTTTTGTTGAAACGTAATGTACAGTATTTAATATTAAAATGCAAAAATAGCTATAAAAACAATTAATACACCCGAAATATACTGGCTGGCATCTCCACTCGTCCCTGCTCCTGCGTCCAAGGTCACCTCACCACTCCTCCCAACTCGCTCCCTCCCCTCCCTCCGCACCGTCACTACTGCCGACAACAAACACAAATGTTTTGTGAATAACTGCACCTCCACTTCCTATGTACAGTATTTGTACTGAACTGTACTGTGCTGTGCATTTTTACAAACAATAAACATGGCAAGAAAAGCTATTAAAAAAAAGAGATAAGAATTTCACTTTACAGTACTGTACCGTACCTCTCCTCGGCGACAGGGCGGGGGTCATCGGGCTCATCGTCACTCAATTCCATAACAGGTGGTGAAGTGGGGGCGACTGTGGATTCAGCTGCTTCCTCACTGCCGCCAGTGATTGATGGTGTTAAATCTCTCCTTCGGTGATCAAAGAACATGGTGATGGGGAGTTGCCGTCTCTTTCTTTCATTTCTTCCATGATGTTTTTGTATGGAGCGAAAACGTCATCCATCCCTCGCATGAATTTCAGGGCACTCACCATGGAGGGGTCCATACTATAGGCCAGGTTTTTCAGTGCCTCAATATTCCTGGTCATCTCCCCCAACTTCTCCAACGTTATTTCTTGGTGCTCTTCCTCATCCTCTTTCCCTTTCGCTTCCTCTTCCTTGCCTGAGTCTACTAACTCCTGTAGATCCTCCTCGGTCAGCTCAGTGTCGTGCTCTTCAATTAGCTCCCTAATCTCGTCCTCTGCCATGTCCCGGAAGCCTTCAGCAGCCACTTTACTTGACAGTGCCAGGGTCTTTCTGAATATTTTCATTTAAATCCATCAAAATCATTTTCCTTGTCATCGTCTTAAGCACCAAACAGCTCCTCCCAGTCTTCTCCTTGAACAGGGCTAGAGGGTACGTGTTTTTCAAATTGTTTTCAATTAAAAAAATGTTACAGCACATGTATATTTTACCTAAGCTGTGCCTGAATGAATATATTCTCAGAAATAAATAGTAGTTTTGCTGAAACGTGATGTATTTCAATGTAAAATAGGATAAAATACATGACGAAAACAAAAGACTTTACCTAACCTTCCAATGTTCAAGAGATGTTACTCGTTTTTTTAATAGTTTTCGGTTAAAATACTGTTATATTACAATGATATTATATTCATACTGTGCTTGATATACTACATTCACGGAAATGTAATATTTTTGCTGAAATGACGTACGTATTAGTGGAAAGTGGAAAGTGACGAAAACAATGACTTTCGCTTTCTTTCGTTCAAAAGATGTTACCGTAATCGCTTTTCGAATGGTTTTCAGTTAAAAAAACTGTTGCATCACAAGTGAATTAGGATAGAATATTATTGTAATACAACAGTTTTTTAACTGAAAACCATTCGAAAAGCGATTACGGTAACATCTTTTGAACGAAAGAAAGCGAGTCATTGCTTTCGTCACTTTCCACTGTAATACGTACGTCATTTCAGCAAAATATTACATTTCCATATTCTCAGAAATAAATAGTAGTTTTGCTGAAATGTAATGCATTTCAATGTAAATTAGGATAAACTACATGAAAACAAAAGACTTTACCTAGCCTTCCGATGTTCAAGATATGTTACTCGTTTTTTTAGTAGTTTTCGGTTAAAATACTCTTATATTAGTGATATTCTATTCATACTGTGCTTGATATAATACATTCACGGAAATGTAATATTTTTGCAACTACAATGCTGAGGTCAACACAAGCGTGGTTACAGCGAGACTGACTGAGTGAGGGAGAGCTATGCGTGTGTGTGTGAGGTTGCGGGAGTGGGCGGTGTCCCGTGTTCGGTGCCGCGCGCGATTTGAATGGCTCGCGATTTGAATGTACTTCAATTACTTCAATGTACAGAATATTCCTCCGGCGGGGCAATCCGCGTATTTGCAAATCCGTGTATTATAAACCCGCGTATGTTAAGGGCCGACTGTATTTCTGTTATGTAATAGTATTGTAAAGAAAAATAATAATGAATATTTAGTTCTTGTTTATGTATCACTGCGCGATTGGGTCACGCAATTGTTCAAAGGGGTAAAAACACCATTCTCATTTCACACTTCATGGAAGACAAATGCAACTCTCAAAATCTAGCAGACAGCCGGTAACCCAAGGATATTCTAGCTTCTCAGTTCCTCCAAGACTCTACAATTAATAGCAGCCCCTAAAATAATAGCTAAGTACCTATTTAAAGTTTAGGTGATCACTTATTCTTGGGTACCACTATTTTAAGCGTACGGGCCAGCTTAGGTAATTATATTTTTTTTTTATAGAGATTTTAATAACTCAGTTTTAATATCTACACTTTATCTAACCTAACCTAATGTTACCCTATCCACCCTAACCTAAGAAAACTGCAATGCACATGACAAACAGTTAAATTCTCTAGAAAAAATTCAATTTATTTTTAAAAAATACATTTGCCGGGTTAACTCAGGTACCTTGTGGCCGTGCCCTCTCCTGGGTCAG